CCCTACGCCAGCTAATCCCGTGAACTAGCTGTGGCATCTCCTGACACCCTCAAGGTGAATTTTGAAGATTCATCCTGTTGGCCAGGTGGGGTTAGGTGAATAACCACACTTGGGTCTTGTATGCGTGTTTCTGAAACACAACATACATCAATGGCTCGAGATGCCAGGGTCTTAGCTAGTGATGCTTGTTGTCCTATTTGGCAAAGTGTCCTAACATTAAATGCTCCTATATGAAATTGGTGGCGTGGCTTTAGGAGACTATCCGTGGTGGTTTTTTGGCTTTCGTCGTTTTTAGTGGACACAGAGTGAAGAGGGAGTGAGGAGCCATCAAGTAGAGGAGTTGCATCAGTGGGGAAGGCAAGGTAATAGAGATGAAGATGAAGACAAAGATAAGTGAGGATTAGAGAGGTTTTGTGTGCATTTCGGATTGTGAGGGCGATTGTTACTTCCCGGCTGCCCACACCGTGGAAGTTGGTTGCGTGACCGCAGAGCCCAGGGGACAACTGCTTGAGGCCGGTCACACGCGGCCTGTTTTTGTTTGTTCTCTTTTGTTTGTGTGCCTCAGTAGCATACTTATCACTCCCGCCCTGTGACACGGCAGCAGGAAGCGCGGTCGTTGTTAATCCGGGCCACGGCCGATCCGGCATGAAATTTTGTGAATTTGTTTGGATCATGGTATTGGATGAGGTAGCTGCTTTTTGTTTAACCGCTATCCAAACAACCTGCCTGGCATGGTAGAACCTCAAGAGACATAAGTCTCAGCCAGTATAGCTTGATTAGGTCATTGCGGTGTTCAAGCCCGACCACCACGTCAAGGTAGCAGCTTTCGGTCGGGCAAGTAGGTTCATTTAGCTGTTAATCTCGACGCATTAGCTACTCCAGTTTTCAAGTACTGGTTTTCCAGGGATTTTGTTTGATCGCATGGAGTTTCATCATGAGCTGACATCAGTTAGAGAACCACTGGAAAACCTGGGAGTACTGGACAGCTGTCTCGTCCTATTTCGAGGCTCTTCATCAGTACGCACCCACCAGGGTTCGGTGGGTGTCCAGTACTCCCAGGTTTTCCAGTGGTTCTCTAACTGATGTCAGCTCATGATTAAACCCTCCATACTCCAGTTTTCTTTCAAACTTCAGTTAATTTATAAGATGTGGATTTGAATATAATTTATTCATTTTATTTTTCATTACAGCTTGATTTCACACTGTATTTTTAGTACAAGTATGGGATTTTCAGCATGGATATTGGTAGCCCAAATTTCGCAGGCCGACCATAGATATCAGGTGTGCGTCGGCAGGGGATCGAACCTCGGACCATGTGCATGGTCGGCGTCGAATCATTTGATGCTGATCAACGTCTTTAGTTATTCGGGGAGAAAAGTCAGAACCCTTGTATTTGATGAATTTCTTTTTTTTAAAATTTATATAAACCTACTAGATTTCATTAACTTTATTCTATATTTAGATTTCTAGTGCATCAAACTGCTTAGATTACCAGTCGAAACGTTTAAATATTCGATGGCAAACATGTGAAAATCAAAATGAATTCGCCTATACCGTGAGTGTTTTCAATTTCCAAATATATCTTAGTTTATGTGGTTGGAATGAATTAATAGTTTACTCTTTTACTGGCAAGGAACTACTATTATATTATTAACGAATAGATAAATTCGTGATCGTCATGGTGAAAATCACCATAATGTGAATAAGTGTAATATTCTGATGTAATGCACTCAAAAGCAGACATCATAGATGCTAGTGAACCACGATAACTTTAGATTATTTCGACTTCAAGCCTCAGGATGGTCGGGGGTGGGTGCCTTGCGCTGCGGATTGGCCACCCCTCCGTACACCTCTTGAAATGCTCCCATATGACCGGATGTCTTACACAGCCTCTCCTGAGGAAGTCCTACTCACTGCCATCACGTGGCGGGGGTGTTTTTCACCGAAATGAGAGGGCAAAAGCGGATGCCCGGCGCTCTTCACCGGGTTGACTGTCCATTGGATGACAGTCTAGGGGAGATGGCTAAACCCTGATCCCAAACCTCCAACGACTGGCGTATGAAGCTCATCGGAACTCACCGGTAGACGTATGGACAAAGGGCTTATTGGATGCCCTGGATGTCTGGCCCCATTCAAAAAGGAGTATGAACCGGACTCCGGGCACCGGCTGCCAATGGATTGTGGACTCCCTACTCCACTCCTACTGCCTTGTAGGTCACACTTGGTTGTGTAAAGGCTAGAGCTGCACTCTCAAACAAAAGGCCGAGCGATGCTGGGGACATCACTCGTAGCTAATTCCCATGAAACTTCATGAACTCATGTTCATGAAGCCGGCTCATCCTCCCGTAGGAGATAGCCGAAGTAAAGTAAAAGTAAGTCATTTTGATGCTTCCTGTGTTCCTAAACCTTCAGAACAATCTAGAAGCCAAAGCTGCAATCACATTTTACTTGAAGAGAATTAACTCTCTCTATTAATATTTTAACGATTGTCTATAGGCCATAATGACGATGGCAAAGTAACTTATTTGTAAAACTTTTTGATGTGCATCTTACTTACCTCTGTGACTTCTTTTACTTATTTTCAGCTAAATGGGACCGCCTGTGCAATTCCACGTATAATGAAAGCTCTAATAGAGACCCATCAGACCAAGGTAAGTAATAGTGTCAGCCATTAATGAGTAGTACCTGTCAACATGATGACATAGTCCATTACTTTACCAATATTATGTCCAGAATGAATAAGCTAAATACTTGTGTGGCGTATGCTATTGACGAGATTTATCAGTAGTACATGAAGAAATGTTCATTGGCACAAAAATATGAAGCAGCGAAGAAGCAGATTTGACGTCAAAAAGAGGAATGAACCAGTATTGCTGCAAAACATGGGAGGCTTAAAGAGAAGTACTACAACATCGAAGATCCGTGCAAATGACGATTTTCATATACATAATTTCCCTATTTAGAGATATTAAACTCCAAATAAACATTTCTTTACCAAGTCTCTTGTCTCTTACCATTACATCCGGTGTCATTGCCTCCAGACAGTGAAGACTACATGACCTACTGCTTCCGAAGACATCAGGAGCTTCTTGTGGCATTTCGTCGCTGAATTGATGGGCGTCAAGGATCCATTGGCGTAGGCTGTTGTGCTGGGAACGCTGCAGAGAGGCCGAGCAAAGGCGGTGTACGACAGTGTGGAGCGATCAGACAAGAAAAAGATTTGGGAAGTGTTGAGTGAACGACTAGCGCTGAAGTGAATCAACCCGACAGCTGGCAATGCAGCAGTTGCGTGTCGCGAAGCTTGGATTGGACGGAGACCGTTAGTGTTGCCGGTAAAGCTGATGAATCTACTACGTCGCGCACTCCCACGTCAGTTGAAGCGTCAGAGTCACAATTATTGACGTCCCAGGTCATCTAGTGTCACAGAACACGTTTCTCAGCAATTACAACTGGTTAACGCTGCACAACCCATGGATATCGGTGAGCTAGCAAAGGTGACCAGATAACTGTTGAGAACAACGGTAACAGCAGTAAAGCCACCTCTTTTCTTCTACTGTTACACAAGTAGTTTCACCTAACTATCTGTTAGATACTAGTAACTTTGAATAGTGATGCTTCTAATTTTGTCTAGTGTCCTTAAAAAGAAATCTAATTTAAAAAGTTATTCTTGTTACTACTACAGTACCCAACAAGTACGCACGAGAAAGTGGAGATGGATTGGGCACACGCTGAGAAGACTGTCGAATGACATCGCGCGCCAGACCATCACTCAAGTGGAACCCGAATGGGAAACTAGGAGTTGGGCATCCGAACGTAATATAGAAGTCGTGCAAGAAGGAGATGAGAAAATATGGGCAGTAGTGTGGCCGCAGAGAATAGGACAAAGTGGAGATGTATGTGTTGTTGAAGCCCTATGTTCCACTAGCGGGATGCAGAATTCGGTCAGTGTAAATATTACTACTGACGCGAAAATTAGGCGTTTCAAAGTTAAATGTGTGTAATTCTCTGTTTCTACATACTACTGCTGTTAACTATCAATAGTGATGTGTGGAATTACAACTATATGTAATCTACGAAACACTCATTTAAACTTCTAGACTGTTGAAGATCAACAGTTGTAGCAAGTTGTCGTGTTTTTCATTTTATGGTTACGTTTTTACTGTTATGCACAGGATTTGAAATGTTCTATTCTTATTGCTTTTTTCAAACTGTATTTTAGGATAGGCAGGTTGTTACTCCTGATGTTTTGAAACCTTACATGAAAATGAAAAGTCAGTATCCTACACTTCAATTCAAACGTCTAACTAGCGAAAAATGAAAGTAACAAACCAATCAAAAGTTATATATGTGAATGTATTTTTTTCTGTACAAAGTAAATAATTATATAACAATGAAGAACACCTGTACATAACTACTTTACAATAGAGTAATATTCACTGCGTGAGTATTCCCGATCTGAATTCTCCGCGAATACGTGTTAGGCTCTGCTTTCTTCTGATGACTGACTTGATTCATGGTGTACTCCTATCTTAATAAATATTTACATATCATTTTGCAGACAGTCTTCAGCATCAGTGTCTTCACTTTGAATAGTTGCCAATCGACTTTTGCCCTTTGTTCTGGAAGTTTTGAACTCAGGCATTTTTTCTCCAAACGCTTCAAGCTCTTCATGCAGTGACATCATATTCTGTGCTAGATCATTCGACCATACTGAAATCGGCAGTTTTTCGATTTCATCCCATTCATCATACTTTTTGAAGAAAAAAAATTATCAAATGAGTAGATAATACGATATTATATGTACATAAGTGATGGTAACGCTTTCATGATCATTTTTTTCCGTCACGTTCCCCAGTTGAACACAGGGCTTCAAGCTAGTGGCTTTAAGTTTCTGTAGCAGTGTTTATTTTTTTACAGGATGGGGTTTCTAGCCTCATCCTCAACCTTTCCTCTCTACCAGCATTATTTCTGGCTTAGCGAGGTAAAGGAGTGCGTCGGTCGGGGATCGAACCCCGGACCATGTGCATGGTCGGCGAGCGTCCTAACCGCTTTCATAATCAAAGAATTGTAAAAAATATTTATCAACTTTTTGATTGTAAATGGTACGTAATACAAATTAACTGTCTAATAAATGCAAGCTTCGGATGACAGATACTAACTTACTTAAAGAGATGCAGTGCACTTGTGTTAAGATCACCAAAATTAAAATTTGAGTTTGCGATCGAGAATTGTTACTTATGCTGTTTTAGTTTTCGGGTAATTGGCTTACTATGCTGAGTTGAAGAATGATAGTTAGCATGCACTAATATGAAGAAAATAACAGAACATACGTAGATTAGGGGTCTATGCAACGGTCCACCTTTTTGCATTATCTACGATACACTATTACTGTCTGCATGAGTAAAAGGAGAAAAATACCAACATAAACAAAAATAGCGTATGAAAACTTACATACATATCTCCGAAAGATGAATACCATTGGACTGTCCTTTTTCGAACAGTTGCCCTTTCAGCTGTTTCTTCATTAGCTAGTGAGGTACGCCATTCTGAGAGCGACTTCTCCATCTGTTTACTGGCATTGGCTTTCGTGACTTCATTAATATCCACCCACTTCGGTTGGCAGCTGCTCTCATCCTCAAGGCAAGAAAGGTATTTCTCTCCAGCAGCAATAGCCTCTTCATAATTGCCTAAGACGGCGTGAGTCTGAAAGCAAAGATGCAGTAAGGGTTGTGATTTGCTGTTGATAGGCTTCAGTTATATTTAGATATAACGTCATCCTTCTTTAGGTTAGTTCGGAAATAAGTTGTCTACGGTATGTAAAATCAATTAGATCCAGTTCTGTAATACCATACCATGTGATAATCACAGGGGCATAATCAATAACTTACACCAACCCGACTGGACTTCCTCTGATTCTCAGACGCTTCCTAGTGCCTCAGTTAACGCAGACAGTAAACTGTCTCCACCGTGCTTAAACAACTCTGGAGTCATTCCATCAGGTCCTGCTGCTTTGCCTCGTTTCGGACTCCAGATAGTCTTTGTAACTTCAGTTAGGTACGGTGCTTTTATCTCATTCAGGGAGTTAAGATTAGTAGTAGTAATACTACTGTCATGATGGCAGTAGCTGCTTTATCTTACTGCCAACTACGTATTAGGGAACGATTAATTTGATTCATTATAACTTCACCAGATTATCATCATAGACATCCTTAAGTTAGATGGTAGTATACACAGAATGATTTTAGTAAACCAAATAGGTCTATTCCGAATACTTAAAACTATACCTAAGGATTAATAAACAAGAAATAAAATGATGAATATCTTTTTAATGAAACAGACATGTCCAGGAAAGAAGTAAAATTACTGACCTTAGCCATACGAAACCAAGCCTTCACATATTTTGGCTCAAGTTCAATAGCCCGTTCGCAACATTTGATGGCTGTTGTAAGGAAATTTGATTGTGATTTCTTCACACTGTAATTGTGTGCAGTCCCAAGTTTCATTAAACACAGGGCTGCGTTCGACAAAGCAACAGCCAACAATTGACGTGGGCTAAGATCACATGGTTGAAGACCAAGTAAGTCTGAATCATGGCGATAATTAGGATCAGTCACGCTAACACTCCCATCTAATATTTTAATCGCTCTTTTGTAGCAGTTGAATGCTCGAATGATCATCCCCATCTAAAATTTCAGAGAACACCAAAAATTATTGTTTCGCGGAATTTGCCACTAGATTATTCTTTTATACCACCTTTAGTAAACTTTTCAGGATAATTAGAGGTTTTGTTTGACTTTTTCCGACCGATTGTATAGGCTGATTCCCAAGTTGAGTTTCTTTAAAACCGTGTCTTGCAGCTTCATGACAGTTTTCAGTTCCTAATTACCCATAATGAAACGAAACATGGATGCCATATCAGGACTTTATTTTTGCCTTTAGATGAGGATAGGGTAGTCCAGCTAGTAGAATGAATAGACATGACTTCTTAAATGCCATTGGCTGATTTGATAACGAATGAACTTTTGTTTGTACAGGTATAATAACCGAATATTCTGTTGACTAACTGATGATGGAATCTGAAGTTCGACATAACGCGCTATTTGGGAACCACTGTTGTTTGTAATTGTCAAAGTGACTACAAGACAAAAATTTTTGGAGGTCTGGTACATGCCATTTAACAGGAGGTTGGGAAAAGAAACACGGGCTTGTTGTAATTTATGTCGCACAAAAGCTTATGATTGGAACGGAATAACTGCAGAGTTGGGAAGCCAGTTGACAAATGGTTAAATCATATTATTGATACTGACAACTAACCTTTAAAAGTTTATTCCCACGACGTTTCATTACATCAGCCACGACGAATTTCTCACTTTCAGACATCTGCCAAAACTCTGCAAGCTACTTGCAAAAATAACATTTCCTTCAGCTTACCTTCTGAATATCTTGGAGATGTACACTGAATAACACTTTGTGTGTGAATGAGTCATTTATCTTCAGAAACTCCTTTTCCAAATCCGTGAAACTGTAGTCATGAGTAAGAGACACGTCACACTGTTCACCACAACCCATTTCCTTTACAATTTCGTCAACAACTTTCATTACACCGAAATCCTCTGCATGCCCAACATCGAACGTAATTTTCTGATTTCGAAGTATTGTACTATCATCAACTATAATAGATATGTTTACAACAACACGCTCGTGTTCCTTAGGCTTCTGAGTTCCAGGACACAAAATCACTTTGTGAAATTCCGACATCTATGCGAAAAGGGTTCGTTATTTGGAAAAACACTTTAATACTAGGCTGAGCAAAGTTAGCACTATACAACTTAAAATAGTGAGGAACATTCGAAATCCTTGGTTGCGACTAAGTTGTGTATTCCAATTAGCTTTATCCTACATACTACATTTTTGACTGTAGGTGTGCATACTGCTGCCTCCGTCCCAGCATTGTTGTTATTTGACATTAAACGACTATATTTCCTGTGTAACAAACTAACCAAATATTTGCATACCTCTCACTAGCATAACTGTCACGTTTGGAAGGCATGATGATCTAAATAGTACTACCCATCTTCTGAGCTAATTCTTAAGTTGTAGTATAAGGGTATATAGACGAATAGCGTTGATATTCGAGCTATGATAATGACAGATGCCGTCAACCAACGACTAGCATGCGTTCAAGGTCACTGGAGCGTTCACACTCCTGGGACGCTATTGTTGAACTTCGCCAGTATGTAACCTTTTTACCTCCACTGAGTTGCGATGGACAAGACTGATATAATGTGGAATCACTATTCAGTGCAAGAGTGAACATGGCTATACGTTTAAACAGCTATCACTGAAAATTAATAACCAGATTATTGGTGCTGGGACTATGTATTCTCCGGAAGCCAACGAAGTTTTTCTAACTATTTAATAGGATGATTTGAAAACAAAAAGACAATTAGGTTTATAGGTGTTTTATCATCCAGGCAACCAATGAACAGAGGCGCTCTACAAGTTATTATTTTAGGCCTCGTTTCCTATTTACCATATTAAAACACGATGCTGCTGACAATGGGACTATCTTGTTCAATGCTACCGGATGTTATTAAAGTCCGAAAAGCGTAGCATTATGTCAGGCTACCTCCCCAAAAAGTGGTGTAATAAAGGAATCCAGCACTTTCCAAAGGCGACTTTGAGGACTGGTGTAACCACACATATGACTCACAACAGCTTGAGTGATTACTTGATAAACGGCTGGACAACGCCAGTCTGCATATCCTACTTAATTTTTTGAAAATTTGCTCCATTCTCAAGCTTACGACAATTGCCAACTTATCCTAACCTATTCTTCGATGATGCCTTTTTAAGGTAAATGAAGATATTATCTACCCACTATCTTCTGAAATAACGCTGGTCGTGCGTAAAAAGAGAACTGAGCGCCGAATAAAATCTTTTCCTTCTGAAGTAACGCTAGTCCGTTCGTAATATGTCCTGTGAGGGCTGGAACAATGCTAATAAACAAGTCCGGCAGGTTCTAATCTACTCCTGAAAATGCCTAGAAAAAGGACAGGATGCTGGATTAGTGCCAGTCATGCTGAAAACCTGCGCTGAGTTCTAGTCTGCGCTATTAAAGAATCCATTTTAGAACAGACTCAGAATTAACTAACTATAGAATGTTAGAATTATTTCAAAATTAGTGAGATTTAATTCAGCATTATATATAATGCTGAATTAAATCTTAATTATCAAATCTTAATTATAATTAGCTTGGATCCAAGCTAATGCACATTGGATAATCGATTATCCAATGTGCATTACAACTTTTCCGGTTGGAAATCATTTTAAAGAGTAACATAAACAAGAGTAAAATCAGCTTTGTTTGCTGTAAGGCACTTAGCATTCTGAGGAACTATGCACTTTCATAGAATCAGTAAATACTACGTATAAATTTGAACATATCGACAAGAGTTCCAACCAGAACTTCGATCTCTCTTTGAACAATAGGAAATTACTACATATTTGTGTTCAGCCAGACTATAATCATCACTACTGGCACTGAGGAATATTTTAGATACCTTGATTTCAGTGTCGAGAAAACATTAGAAAGGGTAACGCAGAACTCGAATACCGCGGCTGTTTGAACATCCTCAAGCCGTTTGAAAAGGAAATAATTTTTCAACAAATATCAAGTATCGTTTTTACGAGCTAGTATAAACCAATTTGATTTCTTTGTGCTCGCTTCTTGATTGTGAGCTAAAGGCTCTCGGTCTTCGGCAAACTTCTGCGTTGTTCATGCCGCCACTCGACTGTCGTAGCTTTGGTCGACTCGTAAAGGAGTGGTGTTGGGATTAATTATATGTTGTTCGTAATGTGTATATTGTGACCGTTACTAATGTGTATGGGGTTGATGCTTCCACCAGTCACTCCTACAGTATCGTCGTCAAATGAAAAGAGGTAATAATAATAGATATAATTAGTGTGGATCATTCAGAATAAAAGACAGGAAAAGGAATGAAGAAAAACTAAAAACAGACAGCTGATTGAATTTGAAGTTGATATATATATATAATATAAGCAATAATAATAAGTGTGAATATACTAGTTGGAATGGTCAGTAGAACAAGATGGGAGAGAATGTAAAGAAGTAAAACGACGAATTTAATTGTCCCTGAATGGTGTATGGGATTTTAAGGGCATAGGCCATTCGGACGCAGTCCTCGTGTCTCTGCATGATTGTCCAGCCTTCGCTTGAAGGCGTCCACAGACGGTGCCATAGCTACAAATACCAGTAAGGAGTTCCAGGGAAGGGGGAAGCGGGAGCGCACCCGTTCCTTGCTCTATGGTGAGCTACCCTCCTGGGGTTTCCACAGGGAAGCCTATAACTAATCAAACACAGGACATCTTTGTTTTGGTGATTCTGGTCATCTGTTATCATTTAGATAGTAATCGACTCCCTCCTAAGCCGACGGTAGCCAAGTGTGAAAAAGCCTGGTTTCTTTAGCCATCCATCATGCAGTTTATTTCGGAGATCAACCACTGCTCTTGTTGCCCGTCTTTGGACTCCTTCCAAGAGGTTGGCATCTCCTCTAAGCAGTAGGGGTGCAATCATAATATCCACTTCAAGGTGTGGTCTGACGAAAGCTCAAGAATGTAATGCACCTCTCTATTTGTATAGTGTGCGACCGCATATTCCCTCGCTACGTCCTCGGTGTATATTACCCTCATGTCCATTTTTCCGTTAAAACTACACCTAAGTCACTCTCTGACGTTGTGCAGAACAAGCTTTAGCCGCACGGGGTATAACTTGCATTATGCAGCCTACACGTGAGTAATTTCACCACTTTGCACTTCTTCAGGTTGAAAGTCATTCCATTGGCCATCGCCCAGTCTTCCAGAAGATTAAGATCTGCCTAGAGCCTATCTAAGTCTTCCGAACACATCATTGCCATGCATATCTTTACGTCGTCAGCTTATAGAAGAGTCGGGTAGCTAAGACGACATGGCGGTTCATTGTACACTCGCCACGCAAACCAAGTCTTCCACTTTTCGTGCACGATATATACCTCTCTTCAGCCTTGATGACCTTTTTGGCTGTGTTGTAACTAAAGGGATGGTATCCGAAATTGCTGTGTGAATAAACTTTTTCATCCAGAGATAACTCATCTCACGCTATGGGCTATTCTATGTCGGAAAAAAGCCTCCTCATTTCAGCATAGTCCGCCTTGTTATAGCGAGGGCATGGTCGCGTAACGTCCCAGTGCAAGGGCCCATGGAGAACAAGATTGAATACTATGGCTGCGTGGTCACTATTTCCTAGAGAAGTCATGATCTGGACATTTTCGACGAGCAGTAGGTCACTAGTTAGAACGTAGTCTAGTTTCGATGACTTTCCCTTAGGTCCCCCCTGGTGTGGTTTCCAACATTCTCAGTCAGTCCCGTATTTCAAATGGTTTTCAGTAGATTTCGACGAAATTTTCCCTGAGCATACCCCGAATCAAGGTTCAGTGATGGAGCATTGAAATCTCCAGCTATGATGATTTGGTCATAATACTAGTTCTGTATACCAGTGATGGTGCTGAGCAGTAGCTTACTGTTCTCTATCCCACATGTGGGTGGTCGATAGATGCCACCTAGTGCTTGGTGTGGCCTACAGTGAAATGACGCTTTAGGGAACCTGGGAGTTCAATAAGTGGTGGTTCCATTGCGCGTACTCATTCAAGTTGCTTGTCAAAGTATGTTGCAACTCCCCTCCTTCAATGTTATCCCCGTCTCTTTTGACCGGAACAGTATTACATATACCGATTTCGTTGTTGGCGATAGTAGGGGTGTCAATGGACGTGGACATTGAACGTTTGTTTTTGGAACTGTTAGCCATTGATTGGCAACTCGAAGGCGCGAATGGTTCGATCGTGTACAAGTTCCACGAAGACGAACGAAAACGAATAAAAACTGTCAAGGAGCTTATCCCTAAGTTCCTATTGTTATGAAGACGCTCCGTACTTCGTCAATCACGTCTCAAAAACCATTAATGCCCAGCTCTTGCTACGCCGGTTCTCTCGCTATCCCTCGAAGCCTTTCAGAAACGCTTATTACTAACGGACACAAAAACCGAAACCCCGATTGGTGACTCAAGAATTCTTTATTCTAACACCAACATATGAGCAGCATATTAACTAAGGTCTATGAACAAATATTACAATAATAAATCACGATATTACTTCCGACGGTTTTTTACATGCTTTCTGAACAGCGACTGATGAGACGATGACTGGTGTGTTGATGCCTCCGCGAAAATATAGGGAAGTTGTGTTTGAGCAAACAACCATGAATTGATCGTTTAATCTTCAACTACATTGACATACTTTCTTCGACTTTAACTCCAAAACACCAGTATTGTAATAAGGAAGTTATATTGTTTGGCATTTAAAGCGGAGAACAGTAAAAGTCTATGAACAAATATTTTATACAAAATTATGGACTACTTTAATTCGTTTTCGGTCGTCCACTTCGAACCTGTACACGATCGAACCATTCGCGCCTTCGAGTTGCCTACCAATGGCTACCAGTTCCAGAGAGAAACGTTCAATGTTCACCTCCATTGACAAGGGGTTAGCCAGGTTCCAGTGAGAATGGTTATTTTAAGGCATAGTTGCGACTGGAAGTTTCTGAGTCCACCTGCTTTTCCTCTCAGCCCCCTCACATTGCTGTGTAGTTGGCTGACAGTGAGTCTTACAACCTCAGCGTTTTGTGGGGTAGTTCACTTTACGTTATCTGCTGCTAGGGGACTTAATTTTGGGGCTAGTTGGCCGATTCCCATGGAACCTGCTCGTTGTCGTTTTTCTCCTTAGATTCGGGTAGGACACTTGAGTGGCGAAGATTGTTATTTTCAGTACCGCATTGCTGTAGTGTCACCGGGCTTGGGGACGTAATAATGCCTCAGTTTGCTGCCTCCTTATGGTTCGAGGTCTGCTTTCGCATCATCGGATGTCCTCCCATTTCCCGCTTGGTCTCGTACCCCAGTTGAAGTTCTATGGCCAACTGCTCCGTGGAGTTGAATTTGAAACTTATCAGCCTTGGGGAACTAATCAATGTGAGATGAGCGGGGCAAGGTGGTCGGAAATTAAAGATTGCTTCGGAAGCGCCAAGGGCCATCTGAGATGACAGCCATCTCCACTGCTGTACGTCATGCATGTGTTTTTCATAAGAAGTGCCATTTTGCAGCTCCGACACACCGTGCATGACCATGGAGGTAGAAGGCATGAGTTCCGATGACTCCCTCACCATTTACCTGTTAGCCCATGGCCTATCGCGTCTCACTCTTGCACTAGAACTTCTGTCGATAACTAGAACCTCAGCCAGTAATAATAACCCCTTAGCCTCTTCGGCAGAGCCTAGTGTAACCCTTAATAATAATAATAATAATAATAATAATAGTATATTCTCATTTTGTACATGAGAGACGCCAGTTTACAGGCATCATCAATATGATAAATTACATATACGATTATCAATCATAATTAATAATAATGTTTTAATAAAGTACACATTTTTTCTTACTTGTGTAGGACACACCAAATATACAGGCATGGATAAGCATTAATTAAATTTCATAAATTCGGTTTATGGTTAAGTTACATGGTTGCTGGCGTTTTTGTTTTAATAATAATTATAATAATAGGGGTGGCTTACCCTGATGTGCGTGTGCACCTCTGTATAACCTGCACAATTTCGCTGAAATGATGCTCAGACCTATTTTACTGCACATATTTCGCAGGGTTGAGACTAATGATGGGGAAGAATACTTTGTATTCAATAAGCCTGCTGAGAGTAAGAATGCCAACAAACCATCACTTGTTACGAAAAACTCCTCTCGAAACATAAGTATATCTGGAGGTGTTCCGCATGCTCCACCTTATAGAAAGTCAGGCTCCAAGACTCCTAAAGTCTTGCAGCCAAAGCACCTTCCTTCACAATTCCCTTTAAGTTATAAAAACAACCCGAAGGTGTATACCGGTATGACGAATAGCAGTTGGATGGGTAGACCTTTGATGCTATGCCTTTTAACCGTCAACCTAGGCCCAACCTGTACTACCCTTATATCCAGGAACACATGGTAAATTTTCCAGGTGTCCCGAATCACTGGTACGACCCATGGCACCTAGGACCACCTCATTGCACACCAACTCCGATGTGCAGACACCCAGTCCGACCTCCTTTTCATTCATAAATTCTTGCGGTGCTGACGCACAAATAGATTTAGGTTATGGTGACATTTTAAGCCAGTTTGTAGTATCCCGTGACTTATTCACGATATTGCTAATTAATGCACGTTCCTTAATCAATAAGATATCTGAACTAAGGACATTATTATTAGTCGCCAAGCCTACTGTAGCTCTGATTACTGAGTCATGGTGCTCATCCTCTGTACTTGATGTGCATATAGGTATCGATGATTACACTGTACACCGTGCAAACAGAGATTGCAAGCGTGGTGGAGGATGTCTCATATATATACATAGCTCATTTGTAGTCAGTAAGGTGGAAGATGAAACAATGAATAATGTACCTGACTCACTCTGGGTTGTCTTACATGGAGATAAGTACAAACTTCTCATAGGCTGTGTTTATCGAGCACCAAGCTCAACAA